CCTTCGGGCGCATTAGCGGGGAGCTGGATCACCAGGGCGAAGACGGGACTCCCGGCTGACCCTCCCAAACAGGATGGCGGCGGCCACCTCCTGGAAGGCTGGTGACTCCGTGATACCTTGGTGCTTCGTGGAGGTCTCCAGGGCAGGAGACAGGAAGGGCAGTGAGGCCAGGAGGTGTCTATCTGGGGGCAGGGGAGGGGTGCTGGGCTCTGATGACCGTGAACCTGGAGTACAACTTCCTGATGGCCGTCTCACCAAGGCACACACGCTGGTGCTCGGACCCAGCGCGGGAAACAGCTTGCTGCCCTGACTGGTTTTTGGGTCCCTGTGGGAGACAGGGTGGGTGTTATGAGCTCCTTCCTTCCTGGCTGTCACGGGGAAGGGGGAAAGCAGCTTGCCCGGCCAGAGGCTGTATAAATAGCCCAAGCTTCCTTGGAATCGCTGGACGTCCCATACACACCGCACTCCCATCCAGCTCCTTGCTAAGAGCCTGGGAAAGCAGTGGAAGATGGCCCAAGTGCTTGGGCTTCTGCACCCATGTGGGAGACCCGGAAGAAGCTCCTGGCTTCAGCCTGACCCAGGCCCAGCCATTGAGGCTATCTGGGGAGTGAACCAGTGGGTGAAAGATTAAAACAAACAAACAAAAAACATTAAAATGAAATGTATAGATAGATCTGTTACCGGAGAAGCAAAAGGGTCCTTGTCTTTGCACAAGAAAGAATTCAGGCATGAGACAGAGAGTAGTGGAAAGTGAAGTAGCAAGGTTTATTAGGGTAGGGACATCTGTAAGAACGATGGGCGCCTCTCCAGACAGAGCCTGAGAGAGAGAGCCCGGTTTACATTTAGGCTGGGGTTTTTAAGGGGCTGGGTCTTGCCTCCCATCCCCCTCTCTCCTCCTCGAACAAAGGACTTGTTGGGTGTAAATATGAAAAATTCTTTTTTGGGGGCCCCCCCCCCCCCCCCCGTTATCAGACAGGGGAAGCCTGGCTGGCGTCGCCCTGCCTTAGAGGAATGATGGTTATCGGGTAGAAGGGGCAGGACTCCCTGGAAGGATCCCAGGGGACATTTGAAGTGCAGATACTGGGCTGCACCTGGAAGGTTATCGGGATGACTTTGAGATGAGGATGCTGGACCTAGAAGTCAGTTCCTTAGGCCTTTGTCACACACACATAAGCACATTTCTGACTTCCTACCTAGCAAGGCGTGTGTGTGTGTGTGTGTGTGTGTGTGTATAAAGTCAGAGTTACACAGAGAAAGAAGGAGGGGCAGAGAGAGAAAGAGAGGTCTTCCACCCACTGGTTCACTCCCCAATTGGCCGAAACGGCTGGAGCTGTGCTGATCAGGAGCCAGGAGCTTCCTCCAGGTCTTGCACGCAAGTGCAGGGGCCCAAGGTCTTGGGCCATCTTCTACGGCTTTCCCAGACAGCTGGATCGGAAGTGGAGCAGCTGGGACTCGAACCGGCGCCCATATAGGATGCCAGCACTGCAGGCGGCGGCTCTACCTGCTATGCTACAGCACCGGCCCTGAAATAGGTTTTTTATAAAATTAAACAGAAAGCTAACCAAGGGCAAGCATTGGGCACAGTGGTTAAGAAGCCTGCATTCTGGGGCCAGCACTGTGGTGTAATGGGTAAAACTGCCACCTGCAGCGCCAGCATCCCGTATGGGCGCTGGTTCAAATCCCAGCTGCTCCACTTAGACCCAGCTCTCTGCTGTGGCCTGGGAAAGCAGCATGATGATGATGGCCTGAGTCCTTGGACCCCTGCACCCATGGGGGAGACCTGGAAGAAGCTCCTGGCTCCTGGCTCCTGGCTTTGAATTGGCCCAGTTCTGATGGACATTTGGGGAGTGAACAAGTGGATGAAAAACCTCTCTCTCTCTCTCTCTCTCTCTCTCTCTGCAATTCCACCTTTCGAATAAATAAATAAAATCTTTTTAAAAATTGGGGGGGGGGGGTGAATGGCTTAAAAAAAAAAAGTCCCGGGTTGTGCACAGCCCGGGAGGCAGCAGGCAATGACTCAGGGACCAGATCTCTGCTGCCCCCATGGGACACCCAGACCGAGTTCTGGACTAAGTGGCTTGGCCCGGCCCAGCCCTGGTTGTTGCGACATCTGGGGAGTAGCCCAGCGCATCTCTCTGCCTCTCAGATAGAATGAAAACCCACGAGATCCTGACACCTGGGATGCAGGTTCTCAAAACTCTTCCCTTACACGCTTGGTGTCTTGCTTTTTTGTTTTTTATTTTTTATTTTTTAATTTTTTTTTTAAGATTTTTATTGATTTATTTGACAGAGTTACAGGCAGTGAGAGAGAGAGAGACAGGTCTTCCTTCCGTTGGGTCACTCCCCAAACGGCCGCCGCAGCCGGAGCTATGCCGATCTGAAGCCAGGAGCCAGGAGCTTCTTCCTGGTCTCCCACGCAGGTGCAGGTGCCCAAGCACTTGGGCCATCCTTCATTGCCTTCCTGGGCCACAGCAGAGAGCTGGACTGGAAGAGGAGCAACCGGGACTAGCACCCGGCGCCCATATGGGATGCCGACGCCGCAGGCAGAGGATTAACCAAGTGAGCCACGGTGCCAGCCCCCTTATTTTTTATTTTTTAGATTTATTTATTTGAAAGGCAGAGTTACAGAGAGGCAGAGAGAGAGTCTTCCATCCATTTGGGCCATCTTCCACTGCTTTCCCAGGCACATTAGCAAGGAGCTGGACTGGAAGTGGAGCGGCCGGGACTTGAACCAGCGCCCATGTGGGATGGTGGTGCTGCAGGTGGAGGCTTAGCTCGCTGCTCCGCGACCCCAGCCCCCTGCCTAGATTTGCTTTTAAGTTGACTTTCTACTTGACAACTGACTGGCAGTGAGGCCTAGAAATAAAGTAGAGCTGGGGGGAAGGGGGGATGTAAAATCATTCAAAAGGGCGGAGCCTCCGGCCACTGGATCTGTCCTCTGGCCTGTACTGTGGTCCTGCCCCTGGGCACTGCTCCAGGGGACCAGCCGTGTGGCAATGCCACGCCCAGACTGGGAGTCAAGTGGCGCTGGCTTGAGTAGATGAGGGCAGCCCAGCTCCCAACACCCGCACCCACAGGGGTTTCCAGAGCCGGCTCCTGAGCTGTGCTACCCGTCTTCTCCCACCAGGGGGCAGAAGCGGGCAGGCCAGGTCCGCCGCGGGGACAAAGGCTGAGCCCAGCCCTGAGCTAGGGTCGAGATGGGGTCCCTAAGGGCAGATCCCAGGCCCGAAGGGTCCTGGCTCCTGGAACACACGGAGCCCTGCTCTCCTGGCTTCCCGGGCAGTGTCTGCCACCCCCAGACCCATGGTCTCGGGCCAGGAGCTAGGGCCCTGTGCACCGGCCCCTCCCTGTGGTTTCCTGGACCTGCAGCGGCCGGCCTCTCCCGGGTTGCCAGGGCTTCCGGAGCTCCGGGGTCACCCCGGAGGGTGCAAGGGAGGGGGGAGGTGATCCCAGCCACGCTGTACACCTGGTGGGGCCGCCGCTGGGCAGGTGCGGGCCAGTGTCCTGTGCCCTGTGCTGTCCTCGCTGTCCCTGCCCTCCAGGAGTCTCACCTGTGCCGGGTGGGGAAGGGCCCCAGCTCCCAGGCGGGGGCTCTTGCTGTCGCCGCTAGCGCCCCTGGCTGTCGGCCCCTCCGTCCATCTCCTTACCAGTCCCTGGGGCATCTCTGTCCCTGTTCACCTGTGCCCCGTGTCCTCTGTGTGTGTCTCTTCACTCCCCAGATGCCCCCAAGACCCAGAGCAAAGCCAGGTGGCAGAATTCCATCCGGGGCCCCCACATGAGGGGCAGGGGCCCAAGCACTTGAGCCGGCCCTGCCTCCCAGGTGCACGAGCAGGGAGCTGGATCGCAAATGGAGCAGCTGGGACTCGAACTGGTGCTCAGAGGTGGGGTGCCAGCGTCACAGGCAGCAGCCTAACCCGCCGCGCCACAGCGCCAGCCCCGTCTGTGCCTCCCCTGCCCGCCTCTGTGTGTGTCACCATGTCAGGGTGTGTGTGTGTGTGTGTGTGTGTGTGTGTGTGTGTGTGTGTGGCGGCCGTGTCTCTCTGGTCCCTGCGCGCCTGTCCCCGCCCCCGCGGCTCTCTGTCACCCCCTGTTCGTCCCCGAGCCTGTCCGGCAGTGCGGCGGATGTGTGAGGGGGAACAGGAAGCTGCCACATCTCCTCGTCCGCTGCCTGCTAGTGTGTGTGTGTGCGCGCGGCGCTGGCGACCCCCAGGGCAGGTGCGTGGGCTCGGGATGCGCCGGCCGCGGAGAGCAGCCCCTGAGTCTCAGGTGAGCCTTCCCCAGGGGTGCCCGGAGCCCCCAGCAGACCCCACAGGAGCAGCTGGTGGCTGGGGCGGCCAGGAAGGGGCTCCATCCTCAGCCCTGGGAAGATCCCAGCCTCACCCTCCCCTTGCCTGAGATCCGTGAGGGGCGGGTGGGAGCCCAGGCCAGCAGCTGCCCAGGGCCTGCCTGGAGCCTCACTTTTTTCATCTGTAAAATGGGTCTCTCGACCTCCCCAGCGTGGGCCCAGGCCGGGTGGAAGGAGCCGTCCCTGGTGCTGGCTGGGGCGGGGGGCCCGGGGGGGTGTCTGTGGACAGGTGGCCCTCACTGGCCCCTGCTTCTCCCCCTCATCTGTCCTCCCACCCAGGCCCGGGGGGTCCAGGCCCCCCGTGCCGCCCTCCACCTTCCCTGGCCCTCACAGCACCGCCGCCAGCCTAGGGGAGGCCCGAGACCATCAGAGCTGGAGCTCGGGCCCCCAGGGCAGCGCCCAGGACTCCAAGCCGGGGCGGCCTCCCTCCCTCTGCCCCCCTCAGTCTCAGTGTCCCCAACTGCAGCAGATGAGACAGAACGGTCCCCAAGGGTCCTCCTGGGGCGGGGGGCTCCGGTCGCCCAAGGGCGCTCCCACATGGGCCTTGTGCAAACCTTTTTCATAAGAAAACTGCCCACTTCCCGTTGTGCTATTTCGGCCTGCAGAGCCTCCCCTCGGTGGCGGCCTCTGGCCCCGCCCCACCTCGCCCTGCCTGCCCCCTGGGGCCCGCTCAGGGCCACTGGGCCACCCCCTCTCCCGCCACCCCCACCCTGCTCCGCGGCCGAGAAACAGAGAGGGAGAGACTCCGAAGAGATAGATCAAGCGTGTGAGTGTCCTTAAGATTCTCTCTCTCTCTCTCTCTCTCTCTCTCTCTCTCTCTCGATTTCTTTATTTGAAAGGTAGATGTTGGAGGAAGGGAGAGAGACAGAGAGAAAGGCTGGGTCAGGCTGAAGCCAGGAGCTTCATCCGGGTCTCCCACATGGGTGCAGGGCCCCAGGCACTTGGCTGCTTTCCCAGGCGCATTAGCAGAGAGCTGGATAGGAAGTGTAGCAGCCGGGACTCGAACCCACACTCATAGTGGATGCCGGCACTGCAGACGGCGGCTTTACCCTGCTGTACCACAGCCAGCGCCAGGCCCAAGCTAGCCTCTCTCTTTAAAATACTGCATGTAGTTTTTAAACTCCACATAAAAAGGGGGTGAAGGAGCCTGGCGTTTGGGGTCGCCTGTCATGGTCTGATCTTCAGCTCTGTGCCTTGCTCGCTGTGTGACCCTGGGCGCAACATGCACCTCTCTGAGCCGCCTTTGCTGCCTCAGTGGGCTGGGAAGCCGTCGGGGCACCGGCGTGGGACCTGGCAGGGGAGGCGAACCGTGCATTTGCACCTGCTCTGCAAACCCCAGGGCCAGCCAGAGGATCTCAGCACTGGCCTCACGTGACAAACCCGCGGGGTGACTGTCCCCGCTCCCCCTGCCTCACAGAAGTGGGAGGAACTGCCCCAGCGCTGGGCGGGTTCTGCCCGTCCCAGGGCACCAGGAAGCGGCCCTGCCCCAGCAAGGCAGCCAGATTAGCCGCCGGGCCCCCGGGGCCGCCAACGCAAGGCCAACGGCACAGTCACGCGTCTCAAGCAGACGGGGCCGGGCTGGGGCTGTCGCGTGTCGTGGGTGTGTGTGCAGCCCAAGGTCTGTGGGCTTTTTGTTTAGTTATTTGGAAGGCAGAGTTACACGGAGAGGGAGGGGGACACAGAGGGTCTTCCAACTGCTGGTTCACTCCCCAGATGGCCGCAACGGCTGGGGCTGGGCCAGGCCAAGCCAGGAGCTGTAAATCCAGTCCAAGTCTCCCACGTGATTGGGCGGGCACCCCACCGCTTGAGCCATCCAGCTGCCTCCCACTGGCCAATCAGGAGCCGAGCTGGAACCGGCACCAAGGCACCCTGACATGGGATCCTCACCGCTGCCCCCAACACCTGGCCCTCCCCCCAGTGCAGCACTGGGCAGAGGCCCATTTCACAGATGAGACCACTGAGGCTCTGGGGCACAGGCAGCGTTTGGCCCAGGAGACCACCCTCCAAGACCAGGGGCTCCCAGCAGTGGGAGACAGACACGGCCCACAGCAGGGACAGGGGCGGCAGGGGGCGGGGCCAGGCCAGGTCGGGGGAGAGCTGCGCCCTGCTGGGCGCCATCCTGGCTGGTGCGGGGCGTGCCAGTCACGGGGCCGGGACTCACTTGTTCCCACTGACTCACGGCTCCAGGGTGAGATGCGGCGGCCTCCCGGGGACGACCCTGGGATTGGCCAAGCCCAGAGAGGTTGGAGGATTGGCAGCCGGGGGCCAAGCATGATGATGGCCCCGGGCCTGTGGGGTGCTGGATCGGGCAGGTTCCAGGAGCAGGGAGAGAAGGCAGCAGCCCTAAGGCCCTGTGGGGCTGGGCTGCAGTGGGGCAGGGGTGGCCCCTGCTCACGGCCCCCTCCCCCTGCAGTGTTCCAGGTGGGGAACATGAGCAGCCAGACCGAGCTGCTGTGCCTGGGGGCGGCCCTGCTGCTACTGCTGCTGCTGGGGATGGCGGCCGGCCTGTGTGTGCGCTGCTCCCACTCAGGTAACGCGGGGCCTGGGGTGGGATGGACGGAGCCACGGCAACCTGTGCCCTGAGGCCTCCCGGGCTGTGGTTCGAGCAGCCTGTTTGGAGGGGTGGAGTGTGGCTGTCCCCAAGGAGAGTGGGTCTGGCCCATGGGGAGGGGGCTTCGGTTTTGCGGGCTTCAGTGTGGCGTCTGGGGCTGGGAGCAGGGACTGGGGGGCAGGACTGCCTGTGGCTTCTACCTTGCAACATGGCGGTGGGGGAGGGGCCGTGACCACGGGGCACTTGGGCCCCCAGGTCCTGCCTGAGACCTGCAGAGGGGAGAGGGGAGCCGAGGTGGGCCCCAGGACACCTGCTGACCCAGACCTGTTCTTGCAGAGCCCAAGAGGCTGGAGAAAATCTACCAGCAGAGGAGTCTGTGAGTCGCCTCAGTGTCCCCTTCATCCGCACCTCCCCGTCACCGTGCTCTACAGGGTTCCCAGCACTGGGGGAGGGCCAGAGGGAGCTCACCCAGGTCCTGCCCCGGCCAGCCTTGGGTCAATGAGGGCTCTTGGAGACAGGGGACGCCTGGGCTGTGTGGGACCAGCCTCTCTCCCCCTGCCCCCTTGCCCAAGGGCGTCCCTATGGGTCCAGGCTCCTGTGTCCTTGACCTCTGACCTCTGGGGTGCCCACCAGGGGAGGGAGGGCACAGGGACCCTGGCACAAAGCAGGATGCAAACACTCCCTGGGTGGGAGTGGGGATGGGGCGGGGCAGGTGGAGGGAGGGGACAGCCCCTGGGCTGGAATCACCCCCAACCCCATCACGGCTGGGTCCCCGAGCCGCCACCTCCACCCTCAGGCCCCCCAGAATCTCAGGGCTGCAGCCCAGCCCACAGATGCCCCCACCTCCCTGCTGATCTCCAGGGACCAGAGGACCCCCCCAGGTCCTGTGGTCAGGGGAGGGTCTGGGGGGTGGGGGAGTGGCCCAGGGAACGGGGGCGGGCATCAGGGCACCGGGTGTGAGGCCGCAGGCAGCAGCCCCTCCTCATGGTCACCCTGTCCCCTCAGCCACCTCCCTGTCCCTGTCCCCTGTGTCCCGGGCTGCGGGTGGCCAGGCCCTGGCTCAGCACAGCCCCATGTGTTTGCAGGCAAGAGACCGCGCAGAGCTTTGCCGTGGCCCGAACCTATTCCTGTGAGTGCCTGGAGGGCCAGAGGGCCTGGCTCGGGGCTGGCTGGGTCCCCACCAAAGTACCCTCTGTCTCCCCTCCCCCCCAAGCCTGAGGCCCTGGGTGGGCCATGCTGCTGGGCTGGCTCCCCCCACCCTCCACCGCCACTGACTCCTGCCCTTGGCTTTGCAGTGGTCAGGCCGGTATGGGCCAGGCCCCCGGGGGACACCGGCCCTGACCAGGCGTCCACAAGGTAGGACGGAGCCCCCCCCCCCCGGTCCCCATCTTAGGTGCCCAACAGGAAGCAAAGCGGAAGGGGACCCTGAGCCCAGGCCCAGCCCCCACTCCCCGGCCAGGCCCCAGGCTGAACTTAGGGGCCCACCAGGGGGCTGTGGGGCTGCAGCCGGGACCCCTCTTCCACGGCCCCCCCCACTTCAGCCCCCATGCCCCCACCCTGCAGGAAAGACAAGCTACTGGAGTTCTCGCCCAGCCTTGAGGGTGAGTGACACGGGGCAGGGCCGGGCCAGCCTGGCTGGGGTGGGGCTGGGGCAGGTGCAGAGCAGGGGAGGCCTGGGGGCCTGGGGAGGTGCGAGCTGCGGCTGTGGGCGGCTCTCGCACACGCACAGACACACCCCCTGCAGAGGGGCCCCAGAGCACCCGACAGGTGGGTGCGTGTTGGAAACACCTGGGCTGGTTCTGGGGTTGCCAGAGGGGTGGGGAGAGGGGAGTGGTGAGCCTGGCTTTTCTTCCAGAACCTGCATCCCCCAGGTACCAGGACTCGAGCAAAGGTAGGTGGGCTGCGGCGGTGGGGGGCTGGGGCCTGCGGTAGGACCCAAGGCCCAGGGTCTCAGCCTAACTCCCACCTCCTCCTGCAGAGGGCAGAGCAGAGTCAGAGGCCGCATCCCTGTGAGTGCCCTTCTCCCCCGGGCCCCCTCCCCGCCCCCGCCACGCCCCTTCCCACCCTGGACCGCAGTCCCGCCCTGCTCTGGGGGAGGGGCCCTGGAGGGGGGAGACCCCACCTGCGCCACCTGTGACAGCCCAGTTACAGGGGTGCCCGGGGAGAGCTGTCCCCTTCGGTCACCCAGCAAGGAGGCACGGCCCTAGGGTGGCTCAGGGGTCCAGGGAAGTGAAGAGGGCGGAAGTGGGAGGGGAGAACCCAGGGGGCCCCCACGGGGCAGCCCTGGTCTCTCGGAGCCCCGGCGCAGGCCTGCCCGGCAGCCTGAGCTGTGTTTTCCTGGCCAGACGCCCCATTACCGCCGACTATTGCAACTGGGGGCAGCTCCCGCGGCCCCAGGAAGGTGAGGCGACGCCGGGGAGGGTGGACAGGGAGCAGGCGACACCGGGGAGGGTGGACAGGGAGCGGGTGACACCGGGGAGGGTCGCAGGGGCTGCGCTGCGGGCCCCGGGAGGGTGCAGGGCACAGGACTGGGTGCGCCTGCAGCACTGGGTGGTTTGGGCGGAGCGGCAGGCAGGACCAGGTTGGGGGGCCGGGACCCTGTCCTCACGGTCCGGGGGTGCCGAGGGCCAGGGGCGCAGAGCAACGGGAGGAGGAGGAGCCAGGCCCCGCCCCCAGCCCGGCCTACCCCGCCTCTCTCTCGGGCAGAGGACGACGACGCCGGTTCCTACGAGAACGTGCTCATCTGCAAGCAGAGGACGCCTGAGTCAGGTGAGCGCGCCTCTGCCCCACCCCACCCCGGCCCCGGGCCCGCGAGCTGGGCCGGGCTCAGCTACACGCGTGAAACCCAAGGTCCCCACGGCCCAGGTGTCCTGGGAGGAGCCCCATCAGCTTCCCAGGGGGAAGGAGCCCAGGGCATCTCTCCCTGCCCGCTCCCCGCCCCGACCCCCTCCCCTCCCCGCCCCGCTGGCCCCGAGACCCGGCCAGGCCCCGCCTGCAGCTCCGCCCCCGCCGGCCCTGAGACCCGGCCAGGCCCCGCCTCCAGCCCCGCCCCGCGTTGGTCCTGAAACCCGGCCAGGCCCCGCCTCCAGCCCCGCCCGCGTGGCCTTCTTGCAGGCGAGGACTCAGAGGACTATCAGAACTCTGCGTCCATCCACCAGTGGCAGGAGTCCCGGAGGTTCATGGGTACGTGGCTGGGAGGGGCCGGCCTGGGTGCTGGGCGGGGTCTGGGCGCCCCTCCCGCCAGCACAGCGTGACCTCTGCCGGGGCTCCCCCGCCAGGGCAGGCGCCGGGTTCCGTGGCATAGGCAAACTCCAGACACGGGACAGGCACACCGCGGCCCGCTCCCACCCAGCGTGGCTATTTCCTGTGGGCCCTGGGGAGGGGGCACTGACCTCCCGTCTGCCCGCTGCTCCCCAGAGCAAGCAGCGGCTCCCCTCCCGGTGGGGAGTCCCGACGAGGACAGCGGGGAACCCGACTACGTGAACCAGGACGCCGCGGCACCCAGAGCCTAGGCGAGCCCGGGAGGAAGGTACAGCGCCCGCTCCAGCTGCTCTGGACCGAGCCCCCCGTGCAAGGAGGGGGCAGAGAGCCCTTTGGAGGGACCATGATGGGAGCCCGGGGGCAGCACCCATGGGCGCTCGGCAGGGTGTGGGTGGGAGACTGCTTCTCAGAAGGGGGGGATCTTCTCCAGCCACCCCATCACCCGCCTGTGGGCTGGGGGACCCTGCAGCTGGGGAATTCTGGGGTGAGACTTGGGCAAGTGGCAGAAGCTCCCAGAATCCGAGTGCTCGCTTCGCTGCCTGTGATGGGATGCAGTGGACCTGCAGGAAGCCAGGGCGGGCTGGGGACAGGACAGGCCAGGGGGGCTGGGAGGGGACCGTGCTGTGACAATGGCGGTCACAGGCACTGGGGAGCCCCCCGGCTGCAGGCCAGTCTGGTGCTCCGGGCTCACACATCCACCCATCTTAAGGTTGCACTTAAAGCAAGCGGAAGAGGGGACAGTCAGGCGTGGCTGCCCAGGCCACGGCCACAGCCTGGCACCCAGTGGACACCAGCATTCACTGGGCACTTGCTAGGGCTGGGGCCGGCGTCAGGGCCCTGAAAGTCTCTGGCTCCTTAGAACTCACACACGGGCAGGACAGGAAACAGAGAGATGTGACAGGCGAGGCGGCGGGCAGGGGGTTTCGCTGCCGATGGGTCCCGTGGTGGGGGAGGGGGCGAGGGGCGAGGGGCGAGGGCAAGGGGAGGCCTTTACGGAGCTCCCTTCCTCCGCCATCTCGGTGGGGGGGAAGGCAGCCAGGCAGAGGGCACTGCACGGAGCCCCAGGTGGGGGCAGCCCCACAGGCAGGCGGGCCAGGTGGGCGGGCCTGCTGGAGTCCTGCTGCGGATTCGAGGCTTCTTACCCCTGCTGCCTGCGGGATGCGGGCCAGCACCGCGAAGCCCGGGAGGACCCCGGCACCAGCTGCTCTCTGAGCCCAGAGTGGGTCGTGATGGTGGTGGAAGCCGCAGGGCGGGCAGCTTGCAAGCTGTCCTCCGTGCCTGCGGGCTTTTCCAGACATTGCTGAAAAGGGGAACTTGAACTTGGCCATGTGCTGAGCACAGCACTGAATGCTGCCGTGGCCCCTGTGGTCGGAGGCGTTGGCCTGTGGTCGGTGCAGCTGCAGTGAACACGCACAATCGTCATTCCCGATGGTCGGGGTGACGGCCGTTTGCCTGGATCTCAGGCTGGCTGCGTGTTCTCAGTCACCTAGGCGTGGATTAAATGCCAAGGCTCCACCTTTTTAAATTTAAATTTGCATTTTATTTGAAAGGCAGAGCCAGAGAGAGAGAGAGAGAGCGCGCTGAGAGCAAGAGAGCTTTTATCTATAGGTTCACTCACTCCCCAAATGGCCTCAACAGCTCAGAGCCAGGAGCTCCTTCCAGGTCTCCCTCGTAGGTGGCAGGGGCCCAAGCATTTGGGCCATCTTCCGCTGCATTAACAGGGAGCTGGATCGGAAGTGGAGCAGCCGGGACTCGAACTGGTGCCCACGTGGGATGCCGGTGCTGCAGGCCAGGGCTTTAGCCACTACGCTGCAATGCCGGCCCCACCAGGCAGGGTCTTGACTGCTGCACAGAGTGTTTCTTTTTAATGAACCATTTATTTGAGATGCAGAGATGGGGCAAGCCCCTCCCCACCAATCTATTCCCCAAATGTCTGCACCAGCGCTGCTGGGAGCCAGGACCCAGGTCCCCGATGTGGGTGGCAGGGACCCAAGCGTTCCTTGGGTGTGCACCAGCGGGCAGCTGGAGGCAGGAGGCTGGAACCCAGGTGCCCTGCTGTGTGGGAGGCGGGCGTCCTAACCAGTGCCCTCATGCCAGGTCAGGCGCCCGCCCAGCTCAGGCAGCTTTTCAAAGGCAAAGCGGAAGTGTCTGGATTATGGCTCTGGTTTGCAGCCGGAGCACAGGGAGGCAGCTGAATGCTGGCCCCAAACCAGCTGCTCAGGTTCCCCCAGGAAGGATCCGTCAAGGCCAATGTTGCCTTCATAAGGAACTCTTCCTCTGTGCCGCAGGAGCCCGGGGCCGGAGCCCAGGAAAGCACAGACCTTCGGGCCCCCGCCATGGCCACATCTGAGATGGGAACGGGCAGGTGCACGTGGAACCTCCACCCTGATTGGAGCCACCCCCGGGGCGAGGCGAGGCGGGCGCCTGGTACAGAGAGAACCCAGACCCTGTGACGCTGGGACCCCCCCAGAACTTAGGGCGCACTGCCCCCCGCCCCTGCCTGTGTCTGACACCATACACACTGGGCCCTGTGTCCCGCCCCCAGCCTTGGCTCCCAAACCCCTTCCTCCTGTTGGTGGCTGGGTTTTCCTCCCCATGGTTCTTAAGCTCAGTTATTTATACAGGCAGACGTGTACTCAGTATTCTGCATTTCAGGGTGATCTGTCTCATGAAGCATTACCAGCCCGGCCCCTCCATGTGCATGAGGGGCACCCAGCTTCCCTCTGCCATAGTGGAAGTCTTGGCTTGTGCGGGCCATCAACCGCATCGCCTTGGCTACTTGTGGGGTGCCAGGGCTCGCAAAGACAAGAGGCGGGCAAACACACACACACACACACATACACCCTGGGGGTCTCCTGTCCACCGTGGTGTCTCCTCCACCAGGGGGCTGTGGCTTCCCCATTTCAGGGACAGGGACTTCCGGGCCAATCACACAGCTGGCCACAGCTGAGCAGAGGCGGCTGTAGCGTGCCTGTGTGGTGGGGAGGGTGGAGCCTCGCGGTGGAAATACCAGGCAGGGGACAAAGCCTCCGAGCATCACCAACCGCAGCCTGACCTGACAGTGGCAGTGGTGTTGCCCTGCTTCCGCCAGAAACCCTGCGAGAGATCAGGGTCAAGGTTTGCGGCCGGGGCTGTGCTGCGGGCAGGAGCTTGTGCCCGGAGCCCAGCCCTCTTCCCTAAGCGGTGCCACAGATCCCTTCTCTACGAAATCCATCCGAAGACGTGCCTAGAAGCCGAGTGCTGGCCACCTGTCACTCCAGGCCTGACACCTCAGCTCACACGGAGACAGGAGCCTCCACCACGGGGCTGGTGTCATGGCACAGCCGGCTAAGCCACCCCGGAACCTGCATCCGATGGTGGCCCAAGTACCGGTCCCCGCTACCCGTGTGGGAAATGGATCCTTGGCACCTGGCTTTGGCCTGGCCCCCGCCCTGGTTGTTGTGGCCATTTGGGGAGGGAACCACTGGTGGAAGATCTGTCACTCGGCCTTTCAAATAAAACAGGAACACTAAAAAAGAAAAAGGCATCTAGCATGACTCGGGCCCGAGCAGGGGTGTGGCGGGGGGGAGGCTCAGGGGTCTCCAGTCACCTCCAGAGAGGAGCCCTGCATCGGCTGCCGCAGCAATGGGAACCCCACGCCTGCCCGGGCCTGGTGCTCCTCACCTGCACCTCCCAGGGGTCATGGGGACAGCACCCAGGGGTGAGCAGGCCCGCATCATACACCTTGCAGCTTCTGTCTGCCCCCTCTGAGGCCCTAACCCAAACAGTCCCCTGGGAGCCATGGGGATGCCCCTATAGCCTGGGCAACCGGTCATAGGACGGCCCACAGGTCCTGCCTCCCTGCTCCCAGGGCTCAGACAAGAGCTTAAAAGGCGCTAGGGAGGGGTGGTGCTGTGGTGCAGCAGGTTAAGCCACCGCCGGTGACCCAGCAGCCAGTATCAGGGCGCAGGTCTGAGTCCAGCTCTGCCTCCAGTCCAGCTCCCTGCTGATGGCCTGGGGAAGCAGCAGAAGATGGCCCAAGTGCTTGGGCCCCTGCGGCCACGTGGGAGACCCGGATGGAGTTCCAGGCTCCTGGCTGCGGCTTGGTCCAGCCTTGGCTGTTGCAGCTATTTGGGGAGTGAACCCGGCAGACGAACCATCTCTCTCTGCCACTGTGCCTTTCAAATAAAGCAATCTTCTACTACAACAACAACAATCGTTGGGGAATTCTAAAGCAAGGAGCCCTGGTGACCACGCGGGAAGGGTGACAATGTGGCTGGTGCCAGTGGCCCTCGGCAGGAGCTCCTGGAAGCACCCGTCCCAGCTGTTCCGAGAAGTCTGTCCTGACCAGCCTCTCCCTGCGACCAGTCCCTCCAGGCTTCGAGAAACACTGGGCAGGCTTGTGTAGACCATCAGCCGCATTGCCTTGGCTACCTGCGCAGTGCCAGGGCGCACAGAGACAAGAGGCAGGCCTGACCGCCTTGCTGACACACACGGTGGGGCTTTATTAACTGGGAGGGCACGTGCCTGCACACGTGCGCGCGCACACACACACACGCACACGCACACACCCTGGGGGTCTCCTGTCCACGGTGGTGCCTCCTCCCCCAGGGCCGTGGCTCCCCCACTGCAGGGACAGGGACTCCGGGCCAATCACACAGCACGCAGGGGCTCTCGGCTCTAACTGGCCACCGGGGCCATTGTCTTCTGGCACAGCCTGGCCAGCAGCCCCGCCATCTGCAGCAGAGAGTTCACGCCTTCTGCGACTTTCATGTGCGTGTATCCGATTTCCTGAAAAACAAGCCCCGCGGAAGCCTGGTTAGCAGGGCAGGGAGCTGTTCTTGTTTTTTGTTTTTTTGTTTTTTTTTTTTTTTTTTTTTTAATCTGAACTAATGGTTTGCTCAAAAAGATCTAACATGGGTCAGTGTCGTGGCTCACTAGGCTAATCCTCTGCCTGTGGCGCCGGCACACCAGGTTCTAGTCCTGGTCGGGGCGCTGGATTCTGTCCCGGTTGCCCCTCTTCCAGGCCAGCTCTCTGCTGTGGCCCGGGAGTGCAGTGGAGGATGGCCCAGGTGCTTGGGCCCTGCACCCGCATGGGAGACCAGGAGAAGCATCTGGCTCCTGGCTTTGGATCGGTGCAGCACACCAGCCGTAGCGGCCATTTGGGGGGTGAACCAATGGAAGGAAGACCTTTCTCTCTGTCTCTCTCACTGTCTAGCTCTGCCTGTCAAAAAAAAAAAAAAAAAAAAAAAAAAAAAAAAAAAAAGATCTAACATGAACTCAAATTCCACCTAGGGCAGGAATGCTGAGATACGATGCAGCACACTTGACTGAAGTTCAATTTCTCTCCTAAAGCAATGTTAGTATTTCTTTGAAAGCTGCTGTTAAGAAAATGCTAAGAAAGAAAAAAAAGGCAAGCAAGCCAGGCTGGAAGGAACTCTCTAACACATAACTGATGAAGGACTTGTATCCAGCATATATAAAGAGTTCTCAACATTCAGTAACAGGAAGAGAACTCAATTTAAAAACGGCTGGGTTAGGGCAGGCACGGCGGTGCACTGGGTTGGGCTGCTACGTCCCATACCACAGTGCCTGGGTTCAGGGCCCAGCTCGGCTTCCAGTCCAGCTCCCTGCTCATGGACACCCTGGGAGGCAGCAGATGATGGCTCAAGTGCTTGGGCCCCTGCCATCCACGTGGGAGACCCGGATGCAGTCCCAGGCTCCTGGCTTTGGCCTGGCCCAGCCCTGGCTGCTACAGCCACTTGGGGAGTGAACTCTGCCTTTCACATAAAATAAATAAAACTAAAAACAAAAAAAAAACCAAAAAACCGTGGGCGACCAGGGACAGGCAAGTTACAGGCAGGATGAGACACCATTCCCCACCTCCGACGAGGGCTTGGAAAACCCAGCCGAGCCCTCCCCGAGCTGGCCGGGAGTGGAGCACCTCGAACGCTCACTGCGCCGGCAGGATTGCAAAACGCGCCGACAGCCGCTTGGAAAATCAGTTTGGCAAGTTCTCGCGAAGTTCAGTCTACACGTCCCATTTGACTAAGCAACCTCACTGCTAGGAATTCACCCAGCAGACCCGGAAAGTTCCGCTCACGCTTGAGCTGATTCACGTACGCAAATGTTCACGGTTGCGTTATTCGCAGCCTCTCAAGTCTGGAGGCCCAACTGCCCTGGACCTGGTGAGCCGGTAAACTGCAATGCACGCCCAGCATGGAATACTACTCAGCCAGGAAAAAAGACGGAGCCACTGCCCCTGGTGACCACCCGCACTGCCTAAGGGGCATTAAGCTACGCGAGAGGAGACAGAACCTGCACAATTCCATTTCTCTGACATTCTGGCAAAGTCTGTCCCCGGATCGGAAACTGGAGCAGGCACACTTGGCACGACAGCTAGGCCACTGTGAAGCCCACGTCCCATCTCTCAGTGCCTGGGTTCAAGTGCCAGCTCGGCTTCCGATCCAGCTTCCTGCTGCCCTGCAACCTGGGAGCCCAAGTACTTGGACCCCTGCCACACGGGAGACCCAGGCTGAGCCCCTGGCTCCTGGTTTTGGCCTGGTCCAGCCCCGGCTGTGGTGTGCATCTGAGGAGGGAGCCAGATGGGAGATGTGTGTGTGTGTGTGTCTCTCTGCCTTTCAAATGAAACACAATACTAAATTATATTTACAAATACATAACAGAACTTTCAACAAAGGGAGCCCAGGCTGCAGTGCGGAAGTGGGTGGGGCCTCCCCTGCCCTGGGTGCACGGGCTGGCGCCAGGCCTGTGAGCCCCTGCAGGTGCGCGATCCTCCCCTCCCCCCTCACTGACCTTGATAAACTCCAGCTTCAAGTACTCCGCCATCTGGAAGGTTTTACACACCCGGAAAATGTTGCCAATGATGTCTTCTGGGGAGTAGCCCAGGTGCCACAGGTGCGCGAGAATCTGGCCAAGAGGACACGGTGGTGAGGGTGCGGAGCGCTTGGAACCACAGGGCCCGGGGGCAGAGCCACGTCTGTCAGCCACCCTGCAGAGAGTGCTGGGCTCACCCCAGGCAATCACCGGGGAGCCAAGGACCCCTGTGGGCCACACCCTCCAGACCCTGGGGGGGGGCACGATTGACATGACCCCCCCCTCCAATGTATTGCAAATGTACTCCAGGCTGACCCCTCCCACGCCTGCCCAATGTCTGAGCCTGCGCAGGGACAGCCCGCCTGCTACCGGTCACCACGTGCCCCTGCAAGCCTGGTCCCAGGCAAAGCCTGGAGGGGGCGGCTATCGCCTCCTCCCTTCCTGCCCTCGCTTTGACACCGTGGGGCAAGTCCAGGGAGCAGGACGTGGCGTCCCTGACCCTGAGGGCTTCCTTCCGTCCTACTTGGGCCTGGCTCTCTGCCTCAGTCTCCCTCTCTCGCACTCCGGTCTCACGCTGGCTCAGGCCCTGCCCTAAACCCAGGTGACCTCCAGCTGGGTTTGTTGGGAGCGAGGTAGGGAAACCGTGATGAGCACGGGCCCCACTCACACCTCCGCCTCCCAAGTGACAGAGGCCACTGGGACCTGCTTGCGGGCCAGGCGCTCCCTCCTGGGCCTGCCCCTTACGGCCGCCTGGGGACAGTGGGGTCCCAAGAGGCCGGCTTCTCCGGAAGCGGGGCGGGGGCAGGGCTTTTCTGGGGGCCAAGTCTCCCTTGCAGAGGACAGAAGTGCAGTGGGAAGCCACGGCTGTCCCTCGCAGGCCTGCGGCAATCAGGCAGTGTGATTCGGGGGTGGGCGCGCGGCCTGCATCCACCTCAGAGTGCCTGGTTCGAGTCCCGGCTCCTCCGTTTCCAATCCAGCTTCCTGCTAACGGGCACCCGGGGAGGCGGCGGGTGATGGCTTGCATGCCTGGGTCCCTGCCACGCACATGGAGACCCCGACTGAGGTCTGGGCTCCAGCCTGGCCTGGCCCGGCCCGGCCCTGGCTGCTGCAGGCATTGGGGGAGTGAGCCAGTGGATGGACGACCTCTCTGTGCCCTTCAAGTAAGATACAACAGCTCCGGCCCAGGTGGATCTGGAGCGGGGGGGGGGGGGGGGGGGGAGCGCGCGCAGCTCCAGGGGGCGGGCACCTTGTAGGCTTCGTCGATGTTGGCATTCACACAGTGCTGGATCATCTCCTTGACCAGCAGGGGGTGGGGCTCGTCGCAGACCTGGCCGAGACATGAGGGAGACACCAGGCTGGGCGCGGCCGCGGGAGCAAAGCGCCTGAGGCGTGGGACTCTCCCTCTGACCTCTGAGAAGTCGCAGAGAGAGCTGCTTCCAACGCCACAGCCACGAGAGGTGAACAACGCAGCAGGCACGCGCGGGGTGGGGGGCAGCTGTGAGGCCCCAGGGAACCGTCTTACAGCGCTCAGACCCACGAAGGAACGGGGAGCCCGTGCGGGCCCACCTCTCCCACGGGGAAGCTCCCCTCGGCCAGAGCCACTGCCCGCCAGCGCCCCCATGGGCCTTGCTTCCGCCCCGGCTGCACCGTTGGCCCGGCCCCTCCCCCAGCATCTCCAGGCAGCACCCTCGCCTGCCCTCCCTGGGTGGGTGCCTGCCCCAGGATGACGTGGGACCCTGCCCGTCACCGTGGGGCCCCACGTGTGTCCCTTCCTAAGCACGCGTGCACACACATCCAAGACAGGGGCTGGGCAGGCTTCTCCCAGGCTCCCGCCACCCGCCACCCAGGGAGAGCTCGGGCAACCCCACCCAGCTTCCTCCCCAGGTGAGGGGAAACTGGGCTGCACACGGCCCTGGGCAGCCAGCTTCCAGAACCTTCCCCATAGCGCTGGTGTGGGGCAGAGAGAACCTTGTCCCCCACCTGGGCACTGCCGCCCGCCCTGGAGGGGTGGGAACAGCAAGTGGGGCGTGCAGAAGAGGCCGGGTGTGTGGGGTCAGAGGCTGCTGGGGGGGAGAGGGGGTGCATGGGCCGCCCTCGCCCACAAAGCCAGGCACGGGAACATGGCAGGGCAGGGCCATGTGCCTGGCCCTCCAACCTCCCCGTGCAGGTAAAGGCGGTAGCAGAGCAGGCGGGTGGGAGGCCCAGCACCCCCACCCCCACGGAGGTGGAGCACCTGCCCCTTCTGTGTGCGCAGACCGCCAATCAGCCCTGGTACCTTGAACACGTTCTCGCTGTTGATGAAACCGAACCCCGAGAAGGTGGACTGCAGGTTGTTCAGCGCCTGAGGCGGGGGGGTGGGGTGGGGGGGTGGCAAACACGGCCGCGTGAGCTCCCGGCCGCCTTGCGCTTCCCCAGCCCGCTGGCCCCACCCCACCCGCCCCGCCCACACCTGCCGCATGTCGCCCTGCGCCGTGAAGATGATGGCCTCCAGGCCGTCGTCCGTGTGTGGCACCTGCTCCTTCTCGATGACGTTCAGCAGCCTGGCGAGAATCTGTGCGTCCGTGAGCTTGGTGTAGCGCAGGACGGCGCACCGCGACTGGATGGGCTCTGTGCAACACGGGGCGGGGGGCGGGGCGGGGCCCTGAGCTGCCAGGTCCCCGGGCTGCGCCACCGCTGGGCAGGGGCTCAGCACAACGGGGCGAGCTGCAGTCCACCCACAAGCCATGGACCAGAGGCCTCAGCCGGCACAGCCCAGCACAGCCCTGGGCAGGCACACCGTGTGGCAGCAGGTCCAGGCAGTGCCCTCGGACCCCTGGGGTGGTGGGAACATGACAGGGCCCTGGGAGGGGGAGGGGGGGTCTGACACCCACGCCTGGCCTCCAGTGTGTTAGAGCCGACAGCGCCTCCCTCTCTGTGGCTGCCACACTGACTATCCTAGGTTTTCATCCGTCCCCTCTGCCTTTCAAATAAATAAATTTTCAAAACAAAAAAAGAAACAAACAGAAACTCTACATTTTATGCAGCTGGTTACACGGAGCTTGGCCCAGCCACTGCTGGGCCCCGGGCTCACCGCACCTATGATTTTGTCCGAAGCGTTGCATGCCAGAGCAAAGCGAGTCGTCTTGGAGTAGATCTCCATGGTCCTCCTCAAAGCCTGCTGGGCCCCGTCCGTCATGCTGAGGAGAGAGACACGGGCAGGGCCTCGCACGTGCAACCCAGGGGACGGACATGGGCATCACGTGGTTATTAAAATGAAGGCCCCGGGGCCGGCATCTTGGCACAGTGGGTAAAGCTGCCGCATCCCATATGGGCGCCGGTTCGAGTCCCGGCTGCTCCACTTCCGATCCAGCTCCCTGCTATGGCCTGGGAAAGCAGTGGAAGATGGCCCAAGTCCTTGGGCCCCTGCACACATGTGGGAGACTTGGAAAAAGCTCCTGGCTCCTGGCTTCGGATTGCCTCAGCTCTGGCCATTGTGACCATGTGGGGAGTAAACCACAGGATGGAAGACCTCTCTCTCTCTCTCTCTGCCTTTGCCTCTCTTTAACAATGCCTTTCAAATAACTAAATAAATAAGTTTAAAAACAAAACAAAAAACACAGAGGTCCGTGGTCCACCCCTGTTAGCTGGGACCTCAGGCCAATTCCTGGGGCCTCAGTGCTACCATCTGAGATGGCGATCATTCCAGAGCGTTGCTGTGATAAATCAATAAAGTCAGAACACGTACAGCACTGAGCAGAGCGCCCGGCACGTCCTAAATGAACACGTCCGTGTTCCATCTATCAGTGTCAGCTGATAGGCTAATCCACAATGCACCACAAGGGCACATGAAGATGGCTGACGTGTGCCCTTACTGTGGAATAGAACTATGAAAAAAAAAAAAAAAGATCTTCACAGCAAGACTGTAACGTGCAGTGTGGCGTGTAACAGTACGTGGAAAAACCAGGACATGAGAATCGCATTATCATCTCCACGACGTAAAAACACACAGGAGTAACGCAAGCTCGTATGTCCCACCCTGTCTTCAATGACTGCCACCCCCAGAGGTCTGAGTCGGGAGTCAGAGCCCAGGTCGACGGCTCGTGGTGCGGCTCTACCTGTCGGCCTCGTCCAGGATGATGATCTTGTGCCGGCCCTTGGGGAGGGTGACCTTCTGCTGGGCGAACATCTTGATTTTATTCCTCACGACGTCAATGCCCCTGAAACGACACGTCGGGGCCGGGCTCACTGCCACTGCCACTGTCACCTCCACGCGACCTCGGAGCTGCGTGTCCGGGCAGTGGGCGAGAGCAGCGTTCTAGACCCTCCTGCGGGGGACGCAGAGCACAGGGCCGAGACGGCAGGCTACGGGCTCCGCAGGCCATCATCCGAGGCGAACCTGCTCAATTCAGGAGTGAACAGTGAATTTCCAAGATGAAAAAATACATCTGTCTCCACCTAGTCCGTCACCCACCAAGGAAGGACTTCGTCCCACGCTCTCTTGTGATAAGAACTGAATGTCTCGCTTTGCTAAGAGTCCTTGGGTCCCTGCCACCCATGAGGGACACCCAGACTGGGCTGCTGGCTTTGGCCAGGCCAAGTCTGGACTGCTGCAGGCATCTGGGGATGAACCAGCAAGGGGACATGTGTTTCAAACTAAATCAATACTTTTTACCCATACTAGAACGCTGGCCCCAGTCCCACAGGCTCCGCCCCGATCCAGCTCCCTGCTAATGTGCCTTGGAAAGTAGTGGATAACGGCCAGGTACTCGGGCCCCAGCCACTCACATGGGAGACCTGAACGGAGTCCCAAGATCCCGGCTTCCGCCTGGCCCAGCCCCAGCCATTGTGGCCATTTGGGGACTGACCAAAGTTCGGAAGATCTGTCGCTCTGCCTTTCAAATCGTGAAATAAACCTTAACAAGAGCGGGAGGTCACGCTCGGCTAGCATGTACCTGTACCTGACTCCTGGAACCATTCTTCACACAGGGACAGCCCGAAGGCTCCCGCGCGACAGGGGATGTGCGGGGACATTCCCAGGACCCCGCCCCGCTCAGGGACGCACACGTCTCCCACAGCAGGAAGACACCAGAGAGCCACAGCCAGGTCCTCTGGGACCAGCTGCATGCGGGCTGCGGGCGTTGCGGCCCTCTCCCACCCCTCACCCCGGAGGCAAACCAGCGCCTCCCACCATTCGGACGCCTACCCCCTAGAACACGGCCACGGAGGGCCGAGCGCTGGGGAGGCTGTGGAGACCTGCGAGCCCCTGTGCCTGTCTGTGGGAATGGAACAGGCGGACAGCCGACGTGGAAACCAGTGCGGCACTTACCCAGAACCACCAGGTGCAGGGGAGGGCGTGGTGGCCCCCCGCAGGTTAAGCTGCCATTGGCACGCCCCCATCCCACATCAGAGGCTGGTTACAGCCTTAGCTGCTCTGCTCGACCAGCTCCCTGCTGCTGGCCTGGCTGCCAGCAGGTGACAGCTCAAATACTTGAGTTCCTGTTGCCCACGTGGGTGGCCTGGAGGGAGCTCCTGGCTCCTGGCTTTGGTCTGGCCCAGCTCTGACTGTTGTGGCCATTTGAGGAGTAAACCACTGGACAGATCTCTCCCTTCTCTGTCATTCAGCCTTTCAGATAAGTAAATCTATTTTTTAAAAGGGGCTGGTGCTGTCGCAGCAGGTTAATCTGCCACCTACAGCGCCAGCATCCCATACGCGCACTGGTTCGAGTCCCAGCTGCTCCACTTCTGATCCAGCTCCCTGCTGGGTCACCTGGGAAAGTAGCAGAGGATGGCCCAAGTGCTCAGGCCCCTGTACCCACACGGGCGATCCAGATGCAGCTCCTGGCTCCTGCCTGGCCCATTCGCAGTTGCTGTGACACGTTCAGTCAACCAGTGGATGAAGACCTCTCTCCCTCTCTCTTTTTCCCTCTTTGTCTCTCTAATTCTGACTTTCAAATAAATAAATAATTAAATTTTTTTAAAAATCAGACTTAGAATTACTAGGGTCCAGCAGTCGTACTTCAGGGTATATACCCAAAAGACCTGAAAAAAGGGTTTAAAGATTTATGTGCAGGTTGGCGTTATGGTGTGGCAGGTTAAGCTGCCACCTGCAGCACCGGCATCCTATATGGGCGCTGGTTCCAGACTCGGCTGCTCCACTTCCGATCCAGCTCTCTGCTATGGCCTGGGAAAGCAGTAGAAGATGGCCCAACTGCTTGGGCTCCTGCACCCGCGTGGGAGACCTGGAAGAAGCTCCTGGCTCCTGGCTTCAGCCTGGCCCAGCCCTGGCCGTTGTGGCCATTTGGGGAGTGAACCAGTGGGTTGGAGAACTCTCTCTTTCAAATATATAAAAAAAAATTTAATTTAAAAATGGTTACAATTTAAAAGTTTGTGTGGATTTGACTGCAATTAATAATTATGTAAAGGTGCCACTGAAAACCCAAAGTAAACCCTAAGACAAGTGCCTCTGAGTGGCTCTCACCCCCGCCCCCGGGGTGAGAGGAGGGGGCAGAGGCAGCCCAGGCGCAGCAGTGAACACAGCCGCCTCCACAACTCACAGCCGAAGCACCTGCTGCCCTCCAGCCCCGCCCACACGCACCTGTCATTCGAGGCATTGAGTTCCAGAACAGCATCCTTAAGGGCCGGGCCCAGCAGCGCTCGGGCCAAACACAGGATGCTGGTCGTTTTGCCCGTTCCCGGGGGGCCCTGGGGGAGTGGGAGCTCCGGTAAGTGCTTGCCGGCACCACAAGGAGCTCAGCGCAGCCCTGGCGTCGGCACGCACCACCCCACAGGCCACCCCACCAACCCCAGCGAGAGGAGGCAGCGGGGGAGAGCCCGGGGCAGGAAGTGAAACCCGGCCTGATACTCACAGCAATTATGATGTTGGGCACGTTCCCTTCTCGGGCAAAGACCTGGCGGGGAGGAGGCGTGAGTCACACCGGGGCCAGCACCGGCACCGTGGGGAAGACGCTGCCCGGGACGCTCACGGCCCACAGTGGAGTGCCTGGCCCTCCGTCCCACCTCCAGCTTCCTGCCGGTGGACACCCTGGGAAGCAGTGGTCCCTAGGTCTCTGCCACCCATGTGGGAGACCCCCATGGACTGCCTGGCCCCTGTGCTTAGCATGGCCCTGCCCCAGCTATGGTGGGCATTTGGGGTATAGGGGCCGGTGCTCCGGCGCGGCGGGTAAAGCCACCGCCTGCAGTGCCGGCGTCCCGTATGGGCACTGGTTCGAGTCCTGGCTGCTCCACTTCTGATCCAGCTCTCTGCTGTGGCCTGGGAAAACAGTGGAGGATGGCCCAGGTCCTTGGGCCCCTGCACTCGCGTGGGAGACCTGGACGAGGCTCCCGGCTCCTGGCTTCAGCGTGGCTCAGCCCCGGCCGTTGAGCCATGTGGGTAGTGAACCAGTGGATGTGAGAGTTCTGCCACTCTGCCTTTCAAATAAATAAACCTTAAAACAAAACAAAGTCAGTGCTGCAAGCAGCTGGTTTCAGCGGCCAGGGCTCCCGGTCTCCCATGTGCTGAGTTCCTGGTTCCCGACACCCCCACCATGGTTGTCTTCCTCCAAACGCCTCCAGCTTGGCGAGGCCACAACGGGGACAGCACAGGGGTCTTCAAGGCACTCACCTCCAGCCTGCTCACCGTGTCTTCATTCCCCACAATTTCATTCAGCTTCACCGGCCTGTACTTCTCCACCCTGTTTGTAAGACAGTGCACACACGTGTAGACATGGCGCTCTTCCCACTGCCCGCGACCACCAGGGGTGGCCGGGGGTGCGGTCACCCACATCCCACACGGGCGGTGTCCGGCTCGAGTCCTGCCTCTGCTTCTGATGCGGCTCCCTGTTAATATGCGCTCTAGGAAGGTAGCAGGTGATGGCTTGAGTGCTCCCTGCCACCCATGTGAGACCTGGACGGAGTTCCGGGCTCTCGGCTTTGGCCTAGCCCAGCCCTGGCTGTTGCTAGCATTCCTAGCAAATGGAAGGTCTCTGCCTTCCAAATAAAGAAAGCATGGGGGGCCGGTGCTGTGGCATAGGTTAAGCCTCCGCCTGCAGTGCTGGCATCCCAGGTGGGCGCCGGTTCGAGTCCCGGCTGCTCCACTTCCAATCCAGCTCCCTGTTAATGCTCCTGGGAAAGCAGTAGAAGATGGCCCAAGTGCTTGGGCTCCTGCACCCACATGGGAGACCTGGAAGAAGCTCCTGATCCAGCTCTAGCTGTGATCTGGGGAGTGAACCAGTGAATGGAAGCACGAACGGACGAGCCCAGAGTTTCGCCGGAGGATTTTACAGAGTCGACAGAAAGAGGCCGAGGAGTCGGCGTTTGGATGGAAGTGCCTGGGCAGCAGAGAAACACCTGTGGTCTCTGGAGACGGGCTGGAAGTGGCCATCGGGAGCGACGGGACACTGTGGGGAACACGGCCTGCCCGTCACAGCAGACACTGGGCACACTCGGCACCGACGGCATCTGGCGAGCCAGATGTGGGTGTGCCAGGCCGCTCGCCTGCCAGTTTCCACAGCTGTATGCGTGCCAAGCACACGGCAGGACTGGCGAGCCAGAAACCACAGGCCTGGCCAGGGGTGGCAGAGGGGCCGTGCTGGGGGGAGAACATGGCTTTCTCCAGCTCTGAGGACCTGGCCATCGGCACCTCCTCTGCCCTCTGCCCTCTGCTTGCACCCTGTACAGGGACTGGCTCTGCTCCAGAAAGACAAAACAGGCGGGCAACAAAGCTGGCTTGTCGCACACTGCAGGAAGCAGACGCAGCCCTCCTCCAAGGCCAGCAAACAGAACATGCTTGTTCCTACTTTTTTTTTTTTTTCTTTTCTTTGTATTTAGCCTCTTCTCAATGCCGGCACTGTGTAAGGAGCTGCAGATTTCAAGAAAGCAAAGACAGAGCTAGCATCTCCTGACTCTCGCTCTAAATGGCCTTCCCTCTGGCAGGGAGTCAGCTCCGCAAACCCCCTCCACGGGGGCCTCAAAGGGGACTGTGAAGGGGCCAGCACTGTGGCCCAGGGGACTAAGCTGCCACCTGCAACAGACATCCCGTTCCAGACCCGGCTGCTCCGCTTCCAGTCCAGCTCCCTGCTCATGCGCCTGGGAAGGCAGTGGAGGATGGGCCTCGTGCTTCAGCCCCTGCACCCACCTGGGAGACCCGGATGGAGCTCCAGGCTCCTGGCTTCAGCGCTGGCCCAGGCCTGGCCGTTGTGGCCATTTGGGGAGTGAATTATTTGATGGGAGATCTCTGTCTCTCTGCTTTCCAAATAAATTTTTAGAAAAGGCTTTTCCCCCTAAAATATTGTGAAAAGATGGCATGGATTTCAAAAATTTTTTTTGCATCAGCATAAACTTCTCTTTCATTCCACCTTTCTGGGAACTTTGTGAAATGCCTTTAAAAAAAAAAAAAAGATTTATTTTATTTATTTGTAAGGCAGAGTTAGAGAGAGACAGAGAGAGAAGTCTTCCATTTGCTGGTTCACTCCCCAGATGGCCACAATGGCCAGAGCTGGGTTGATCCAAATGCAGGAGCCAGGAGCTTCTTCCAGGTCTCCCAGGTGGGTGCAGGGGCCCAAAGACTTGGGCCATCTTCTGCTGCTTTCCCAGGCCACAGCAGAGAGCTGGATCGTAAGTGGAGCAGCCAGGACCCGAACCGGCGCCCATATAGGATGTCGGCACTGCAGGCGGCGGCTTTACCCACTACACCACAGCGTCAGCCCCTGTGAAATGCCTCTTACAAACCAAGAGCCCAGGGAGAGGACAAAGCAGGGGCTGGGAACAGCAGGAACTGAACTGTTTTTGTTTCTTAGATTTACTTTATTTATTTGAAAGGCAGAGTTATAGAGGGGGAGAGAGAGAGATCTTCCATCTGCTGGTTCACTCCCCGGATGGCCGCCAGCAGCCCAGGGCTGGGCCAGGCCGGAGCCAGGATTTCCTACATGGGTGCAGGGGCCCAGGCACTCGGGCCATCATCCTCCACTGCTTTTCCAGGCGCGTTAGCGGGGAGCCGGATCCGAAGTGGAGCAGCCGGGGCTGGCGGCGGCTTAACCACTCCGCCGCAACGCCGGCCCCTGAGCTGGGTTTTGAACAAGACAAGTGTTCTCTTCCGAGCTTTTGCACGGCTGCCCCCTGCCCGAAACCGCCTCCTCCACGAAGCCACAAGGCTTGCTCCTTGATTTGGGGCCTTTTTGCTCAAGTACCAGATCTTCACGGGGCCCTACCTCTCATCGAATGCACAGCACATCTATTGTTAACTGCACTACAGGCCAACAGAATATAATAAAAATATGTACAAACCACACGGGTCATTGAGAATTGGTAACCACATTAAAGTGTAGAACGAAATAGAGGCCGATTTTCGACGCCGCCCCGGAGCCGCCTGCTCCCCCTTGGGGTCCCCCCCAAACAGGCCCTCGCCGCCCCCCGGTTCCTCGCCCTCATGTCCGATCTACGGCCTGGGCCCCTCACCACGGCAGCTCGTAGTGGCCGGCGCTGCTGGACGCCTTGCTGGCGACAGGCGCAGCGTCCTGGACCGCACCATTCTCCTGCACCTCCATACTCTCGCGTCCGCTTCCCGCCGCCCCGAGGCCCCGCCCCATGACGCCATCACGCAGGCCCCGCCCCCTGGCCGCAGGGAACGCCGGGCGGGAGTGGAAGTCGCGAGCGCGCGCCCCCTTTCTGCGCCTGCGCAGAGTGCTCCGGCTTTGGCCCGGGCCGCTGTCCGTCGCTAGAGGCCGCGGTTGGTGCGCTGGAGCTGGCGTCCGAGCTAGGCGCTGGACCCGACCGGGCAGGGCGTCCAGGGGATGCTCTCGTCCCCCGCGCCGCCCCGGGTTTGGCCGGGGAGGAGACGCAAGCCGTCTCTCCGTCGGAGGGTTTTCATCCTGAAAAATGGATGCTTGGAGCGTTGTTGCGGGTTGCATTTCTAATGTTCCTCCCGTGGCCCGAATGCATCATCGCCGTTAAAAATCCAGAATAAAGACTGAAATCCACCAGGATCTGCGCTGCGCCTTGTGCCCGCGGAGGCTGCTCCTAGCAGTGGGGTTTTACAGGCCTAGGAAGGGCCTGGGGGTCTGGACTGGGGAATTTGCATAAAATCCTCCTCCTATTGCATCGTCATGGGGGGGGGGGGGGCTTCTTTCTCTTCTGCCCCCAGGGCGGAGCCAGGGCCTGGCTCTCTCCACCTGCCCATGTCCTGAACAGCTTGGGTCAGCCTTGAGGAACTGGGTTGCTCCCCACGAGGGCGCCGTGTCTGTTTCTCCCATCTTCCCTTTCTTCCTCTGTCTTTATTTTTATGTTTTAGTATTAAAAAAAAATAAAAAAAAAAAAAATAAAAAAAAAAAAAAACAGATGTAGGGGGCCGGCACTGTGGCGTAGCGGGTAAACCACTGCCTGCAGTGCCGGCATCCCATATGGGCGCCGGTTCTAGTCCCGGCTGCTCCACTTCCGATCCAGCTCTCTGCTGTGGCCTGGGAAGGTAGCAGAAGATGGCCCAGGTCCTTGGGCCCCTGCACCTGTGCGGGAGACCCGGAGGGAGCTCCTGGCTCCTGGCTTAGGATTGGCGCAGCTCCAGCCGTTTCGGACAATTGGGGAGTGAACCAGCAGATGGAAGACCTCTCTCTCTCTCTCTCTCTCTCTCTCTCAGTGTATTTGACAGGCAGAGAGAGAGACAAAGAGCTCTCATCCAATGGTGTGTTCCCCAAGTGCCCCCAGGACAGGAGCCAAGAACTCAGTCCAGGCAACCAATGACCTGAGCCTTCCACTGCCTCCCAGGGTGCACATCTTCAGGAAGCCGGGTCAGGAGCCAGAGCCTGGGATCATCACCAGGTCGTCTGATGGCAGGAGGCATCTCACCTGCTGGGCTGAATGTTTTTATCATTGGTGAAAATCTTCATGTGAGGGTACATCAACAAATTCAAGTACTTGGGCCACTGCCACCCACTCGGAAGTCCTGGATGGAGTTCCTGGCTTTGGTCTGGCAAAGTGCTGGCTGTTGGGGCCATTTGGGGAGTGAACCAGTGATTGAAGCTCTGTTTCTCCCTCTCTCTCTAAGTGTGCCTTTCAAAAAAGAAACCTTTAAAAAAAGATTTATTTTTATTTATTTGAAAGGCAGAGTTATATATAGAGAGAGATCTTCCATCTGCTAGTTCACTCCCCAAATGGCCACAACGGCCAGGCCTGGGCCAGACCAAAGTCAGAAGTCAGGATCTTCCGGGTCTCCCACGTGGGTGCAAGGGCCCAAGGACTTGGGCCATCTTCCACTGCTTTCCCAGGCCATAGCAGGGAGCTGGATCGGAAGTGGAGCAGTCAGGACTTGAACTAGTAACCATATGGGATGCTGGCACCACAGGTGGCAACTTAACCTACTATGCCACAGTGCTGGCCCCCCAAATAAGCACCTTAAAAATTGGGGCCGGTGCTGTGGCATAGAGCGCACGCTTGCATGTGCTGGTTCCTTTCCCTAGTGGCTGCAACAGCCAGGCCTGCGCCAGGCTGAAGCCGGGAACCAGGAGCTGCATCCGGGTCTCCCGCATGACCCGCACGGTCCTGAGCACGTGGGCCGTCTTCCGCTGCCTTCCCAGGCAACACTAGCAGGAAGCTGGATCAGAAGCGGAGCAGCTGGGGTTCCCCGCTGGATGTCCCCCTCCTTCCCGCCCCCACGTCAGGGCAGCAGCTTGATCCCCAGGGCGGCTAATTAGTTATTCAAATAAGTGTGGGCTCCAGAATTTGCATTGGTCTCTCTTTTTAGCTTCGTTTCCAGCCCCTCCCCCACCCAGGAAAGCCTGGCCTCTGTGGAAATGCCCTGGGGAGGCCCCCTGCTCCCAGGTTTCTTCCTTGCAGCTACTAGGCACTCAGTCGGCACCGGCCAGCTGCTCACGCCAGTCAGCCAGCCCGGTTGGAGGGGTCCTCCATGCAGGGGGCACGGTCGCCTTCCTGGGTGTCAGCTGTGCAGACGCCTCTCGCGACCCGGGCTCTGGAGCCGTTTGTTTGAATGATCATAATTACCAAGGTCTACCCTCGGCGCCTTTCTCTTCCCCTTTCATACGATTTGGGGGTGGTGGTGAAATGCTGATGTTTCTTTCCCTTGAAACTGTCTTATAACTTTTTTAAAAAGTATTTATTTGAAAGAATTACAGAGAGAGGAAGAAGAGAGAGATTTTCCATCTGCTGGCCCACTTTCCAGATGGCCACAATGCCCAGGGCCGAAGCCGGGAGCTTCATCCGGGTCGCCCACGGCAGTGGCAAGGGCCCAAGAACTTGGACCACCCTCTGCTGCTTTCCCTTAGCAGGGAGCTGGATCGGAAGTAGCGGAGCCGGGACATAACCGGCGTTCATAGGTGATGCGGGCGTCTCAGGCTTCCCCCAGGACGCCACAACACCGCCCAGGGTTGTCAGTTTTTAAAATTGCCACTCACGGATCCTTGTACATGCTTCTCTGGGAATGGCTCCTTCCGGCTTTTCCTTGGGAATGCTCCCACGTGGTGCCAGTCTGCCCTCCTTCCCTGCCAAGTGCATCCCACCACATCCATAGAACACAGCTCAGGAGCTGAACGCTTCCCGTAAACAGAACGGCTGACTGTTCTCTCTCCTCCCGTGGTTCTTCTCCAATCATTCCACTCTACCAGAGGCCTCCTTAGAAATGATTTTATTTGAAAGGTACAGAGACAGAGATCTTCCAAATGCTCACAACAGCCAGGGCTGGGCCAGGCAAGAGCCTAGAACTCCATGTGGGGTCTCCCATGTGGGTAGCAGGGACCCGAGTACTTGAGCCATCATCTGGGGCGCTTAGCAGGAAGCTTGATCTGAAGTAGTGGAGGAACCGGAACTTGAACGCGGCACTCAGGAGCCAGGTGCTCCCCCACCCCCCGCCAGGCTTGGGGAAGTCTCATTTTTTAAAAAAAGATTTATTTATTTATTTGAAAGACAGAGTTACAGAGAGGCAGAGGCAGAGAGAGACAGACAGACAGACAGATAGAATTTTCTATCTGCTGGTTCACTCCCCAGATGATTGCAACAGCTGGCACTGAGCCAATCCGAAGCCAGGAGCCATGAGCTTCTTCCGGGTCTCCCACATGGGTACAGGGGCCCAAGGACTTGGGCCATCCTCTACTGCTTTCCCAGACCATAGCAGAGAGCTGGATCGGAAGTGGAGCACCCAGGACTAGAACCGGTGTCCATATGGGATGCCGGCACTTCAGGCCAGGGCTTTAACCCGTTGCACCACAGCGCCAGCCCCAGACCATTTGGTTTCAAGTCCTGGCTCCTCCACTTCCTATCCAGCTTCCTGCTGATGCGCGCCCGGGCAGGCAGCAGGTGATGGCTCAATGTCTTGGGTCCCTGCCACCCACGTGGGAGATCTGGATGGAATTGTAGGTGCGTGATATCAACTAGGCTGTTGCAGACATTTGGAATGGAAGTTCTCTCTCTGTCACTATGGCTTTCAAATAAAATGAACTTTTTTCTTATTTACTTATTTTTTAAAAAGATGTGTTTGAAAGGCACAGTGACAGAGAGAGAGTGATAGAGATCTTCCATCTGCTGATGCACTCCCAGCATGGCTGCAACAGCCCAGGCTGAGCCAGCCCAAAGCCTGGAGCCAGGAACTCCATCCTGGTCTCCCAAGTGGATGGCAGGGGCCCAAGGACTTGAGCCACTTTCCGCTGCTTTCCCAGGCACATTAGCACGGAGCTGGATTGGAAGCAGAACCGCCAGGACTCAAATCTGCCCTCCCATGTGGGATGCCCGCATCAGAAGCTGTGGCTTAGCCCGCTGGTCTTAGTACCACTGGAATGGTACATTCAGACCCGCCTGTGTTCCGCCTGCTCCCCACCCACTGCCGCCTCCACTGGCCCAGCCAGCAAGCGTATTTCACGCTCTCTGCCTAGTTTACATTGCATTGCTAACCCCCCCACCTTTTTTTTTGTTTTCAATGAGTAACTTCATGTGATTCTTAGCAATCTTTCATTGTCAAAGGGTAATGCAATCATTGTTTCCAACGCTGTCTTATTCCATCCTGTTCAGGGTGTGTCTCTCATGTTTGTTGGCATTTGTGATCTTCAGAGGCTGATTGTGAAGGTAAAAAAAAAATACATCTAAAAACATCAACAGTATATTGACTTCTCACCTGGGTCCTGCACTGATCGGAGCGATGGAATTTGGGAGGTGTTTAGAAATCATTTCTCCCCAGGTGGGTGTTTGGCACAGAACGGTGACGTGGGAAGCCAGCGTCCCACATCCGAGTGCCTGCATCAGGTCCCAGCTGCTCAGTTTCTGAGCCACCTGGAAGCTAATGTGAACCCTGGGAGGCAGCAGGTGATGGCTCAGGTGCCTGGGGGACCCGGATGGAGTTTACCCGGATGGAGTTGCAGGCTTCTGGCTTTTGGCCTGGCCCAGCCCTGGCTGTTCTGGGTGTTGGAGGAATGAACCAGCGGATGGAAAATCTTTCTACATCTCTGTGACTGGCATTCTCTCTCTCTCTCTGTTTCTCTCTCTCTCTCTCCTGATGGGTTTATTATGTCAGACAGGGGACTGACTGGGGGTTAAGGAACCAGCGAGATAGGGCAGCACCCAGCCATGAGGTCAGGAAAGATTTACCCGGGAGGGACATTTGACCCCTGACCCCAGGACCTGAGATGTAA